CCATTTAGAGTAACCAATCACTTCCCAACCGTCACGACTCCGTAGTTGTCGGACCTTTACTCTGAACTCACACCCACAACCTTTCCGCTTTGTATCAAACCAAGTGGCTGTACGAAAATCTCTTTCTTCTCTTTTGCGATAACGGTCACATCTCAAAATGCGATCCATTCTACCATCCCGTTGAGATTTATGAGTTACTACTACCAAGCAAAATCCAGCTGCAATTGCAACTTGTTTTGCCCAATCAATCGCTTGTTGAGCTTATTCGAATGGACCATCATGTTCAAATATCCCACTGTAATCATTTCCGTCTCCACCATAATTCTGCATCAATTATATATTATAATAAATACATTTAACGCATAATACATTTAATTTCTATATTTACACAGAATTAACACAAAAAAAACATAATTATGTAAAAATACCATTTCGAATTTTCAAACTTAATTTTACAAAAACCTATTTCGAATTTTCAAAATTAATTTTAAAAAAAGCCATTTCGAAATTTTTAAAAAACACATTTTCTAATTTTAAAAAAAAAAAAAATTAGGCCCAACAACAAAATCAAAGAAGGAAAAAAAAATAAAAAAAATAGGGGTGGCGTCTGCCAGGGCCGCCACAGCCACTGGACTGGCGCCTGGTAGGGCCGCCTCAGCCAGCAGACTGGCGCCTGGCCAGGACGCCAGTCTGGTGGTTTGGGCGTCTGGGTTGGACGCCGGTCCGGTGGTTCTGGCGTCTGGCTTGGACGTCCTTGCTACGGTTAGGGCGTCCACCCTAGGCGCCGGAGCCACCCTTACGGTAAACCGTGAATTTTACCGGTGACTTACCTCGTTTTCCGTCGACGACGACGTACCTCCGGCGTCCCCCACAGGTAAAATGCAATATAATAGTGTGGCGTCACTTTAGAAATCGCAAAAGTTAGAGGCAATATAATAGTGCATGAGTAAAATGCTGCAAGGCCTATCACTCACCTAGTCGCCTTGTCAAGTGTTGAATTGTGAATACACGCCCTGAATAGTGTCTTAAATTATGCCACAAAATCAACTGCCTTCATCTTCTTATCTTCTTGTCTAACAACGAAGTGATGTCTCTCCTTAACCATACCTTATACATCATACAAGTTTTGCGTTTAATGGTGGAAAAACTTAAAATATTCTAGTTTTTATAACTAAGGCAACCTTTGAACCACAGTTGCACCCCACAAGTATATGCTACTATGCTTTTAATTTACCTTTCTAATTCAGCCAAATCATTCTCATTCATGTTACCCTTTTAATTTACCTTGAGCACAAGTAGTAGCTCTGAACATAAATTTAGGAAGTTGACTTTTATTTTTTTTGAATGACAATTTTGATCCAGGTGTATTATCCTGGTGTACAATGTAAATTTCACTTTCGAGTTTGGTATATAATTTATAATGTACTCGTAAACAATTTCATTAAATTATATTATTCAACTGAATCAAATCAACACCACACTAATGCAAACAAAAACTGTAAAGTAGATGTAACGAAAATCTCAACAGAGAAATATCATATGAAATTAACCACAACATCGAAACTAACATATTTGTCGAAAATGCAGATGAATCAAAAATTATTATGCAATTGAATTTAATACGGTATGACCTAACATATTCGTCAAAAATTTCAAATTGACTCAGATATTATCCAACAATAGACAAGAACAACATATTATATGCAAATAGGCTGAGGACGAATCAATCATTCTCGTAATGAACACAGCAACTCAAACCACATAGCAGTTCTGCGTAAAAGACAGAAGCCTTAATCAAATCACTGTCCCACAAAGAGGCTACTTTATGCATTCGTTCTCAGTGCCTCAATTTTCCCGTCAATTCGCCTTCCCCACAAACACGTCCTTTCTTCCCATGTGCTTTCTCTCTCTAGGGGTTTCATCAAAAGGATTCACTCTTTTGGGCTTTCGTTATCAGCCGTTTGTGAGCCTGAGCCGTTTACATTAGACCGTTAAATGGAACTAAGGAAATTCCAAAAATCTCCCCCCGCTATCATATGAAAGGACTAAAAAGCCCTGTGATAAAAATTACATGTCGCTCACGGAGAGCAACTTGTATTTTGCCATTTTATAGGAAATAGGAGAAATTGAAATAAATAATCCTACCTTTGCGTGGTCTGACAATAACAATCCCTTTAGATTATTACGAGGCAATCTCACCTTTGTATGTCATTTTCTTTTAATGAACCTTTTTAGTTTTTACCTGCAACCTGTTAAACAGGTTAAAATGTTTTTTTTTTAAAGTCACGTGTTGCTCAATAATTGGTCAAAATAATAAAAGTTAACCAAAAAAAAAAAAAAAAAAAACAGGTAAAAAAAAATTTAAAAGAAAAACAAAAGCCACCGTGAGACCCTAGCCCATACCCTAGGCGGCCCACCTAAAAACACCGAAAGCCACTCTTAACCCCCGAAAACGCCGACCAGAACCCCCCAATACCAAAAGCCACCCCCGAAATTACCCCTGACCTAAATTGAACCCCTGAAACCACCATAACCACCACCCTGAAAACACTACACAGCCGCCCAAAAACCCCCTAACCGCCAAAAACAACCGAAAACCTCCATCCCAGCCCCGATGAACCCCTACAGCCGCCGAAAAACCACCGAAAACCTCCATCCCAGCCCCGATTAACCCCTATAACCGCTAAATAACCACCAAAAATCTCCATTCCAGCCTCGATAAACCCCTATAATTACAGAAAAATCATCAAAATCCCCACCCAACCTCCCTAACTACCCCAAAAATCCCCATCTCAGCCACGAAAATCCCCATCTCAGCTCCGAAAACCCCCCTTAAACACCCCGAAAACACATCACTTGTGGGTGCTGGCCGGCGGTTTTCAGACATTAAGGAGGGCGGCCAGCCGGTTTTTGGTGGTGGCTGGGGTAAGGGTTAGGGTTTCATGGTGGCTTGTGGGGGCTGGGTTTTTTTTTTTTTTGTATTTTTTTTTTGTTTTTTTTTTTTGCTTTTTTTTATTATTAAAAAAAAATAAAATGAACCTATTAAAATTTAACACGTGACATCTAACCTATAAAATTCGGTCACCAACAAGTCAAGCTTCATTAAAAGAAGATGGCATACAAAGTTGGGATTGCCTCATAATAATCAAAAGGTGGGATTGTTATTGTCAGACCGCGCAGATGTGAGATTATTTATTTTCATTTTTCCTTTTATATAAGTGAACTAAAATCCAAGAAAAAATTTTACTTTACAATTTTTAATTTTTATAGTGTAAATTATGCATTTAGAAAGTATCCCGCGATTACAAAAAAGGACATAAATGTAAAACAAAGGGAGTATTTTGAATAAACTATAAACCTCAAAACTAAAGGGATTTGTTAAACATCGCCCGCGTTTTTCTACATAAAGCCCACATTTTTTAAAAATGTTGACATTATTGCCCTTGTTTTAATTTTTACCGAAAATAAAATTTTTCACTCATAAAAAATGTGGAGCAGGACTGGATCGCCGAGTGAAACCGAAGAGCCCTCAACGTCGGGTAGATGCACCGGAGAGACGCCGTTGACGCCGGAAAAGGAGGTACGAAGCCATCTAAAACCACGAATTGGCGGCTGGCGTCCTGCCGGGACGCCGTGACCGTAGTGGTGGCGCCTAGCCAGGACGCCGCCACCGTGGCTCTGGCGCCTGGCCAGGACGCCGCCACCGTGGCCGTGACGTCTGGCCAAGACGCCGCCGCCACGGTGGCGGCGTCCTGGCCAGGCGCCACCGCCACGGTGGCGGCGTCCTGGCTAGACGCCACCGCCACGGTGGCGGCGTCCTGGCTAGGCGCCACCACTATTTTTTTTTTTTTTTTTTTAATTTAATTTAAAATTTGTTTATTTTTTTTTTTTGTGTTACAATTTTTTTCTTTTTTTTTTTTGGTTTTTTTTTTGTTTTGTTTTTAATTGTTTTAATTTGTTTTTGTTTTTAATTTATTTATTTGTTTTGTTTTTAATTGTTTTAATTTGTTTTTGTTTTTGTGTTACGGCGGGAAAGGAGTGCGTTTGAGTACATTCGTGGTCGTGGTCGTGGCCGTGGTCGTACATCGTCATCAAGTGGTAGTCAAACATCTTCGTCGGTGAATATGCCCGGCACCGGTACGGTACTTTAGTTTAATTTACTTTTTAGAGTGTTTGTTTAGTTTTCTGCTAACTTGTTAATTGTGTTTTTTGATGTGTGCAACAGGCAGAATGGACATTGAACATTTTCCATATAAAGACAGGATCCCTAACATCATGATGCCGTTCCTGGACGGGTGGAATGATGTGGTTGCAGATGGTAACTGTGGATTTCGGGTTGTGGCTGATGTGTTTCAGATGGGTGAAGACAACTACGGTTTAGTGCGTCAGTTGATGTACAGTGAAATCGCCTCAAACCGAGCTGTTTATCGCCACGTGTACGGACAGGACTTGGATAGGTCTCTGCAGCGTATCCGGTGGGGAGGAGGACGTTGCGGTCAAAATCATTGGTTCGACGCGCCCCTTGATCTCTTCGCCGTTGCAAACATCTACAAGTGTGCAGTGATGCATTTCGGCCTTGGTTTGCATGGTCGAGCTTACTATCCGTGTACCACGGTTCTGCCTTGGTGTTCGCGTGAGACCGTCACCAGACCGGTAAGAGAGGTTGCTATTGGATTTCTGGGGCCGTCATACAGACATTTCATCCGACTGGACCTGTCACCCGATTTTCCGGTCCCACCGATTATACCAACGTGGTACACCATTCGTACAGCAAGCGTAGAGGGCTGGGATGCGTTATATCATGACCGGGTGCAGCAGTGGAACAATCTAGTTGCCTTTTCTATGTGACCTAATATTGCTATTGCTATGTTTTTCCCATTTATTTAATTTTCGGATTCTAATTTTCGTATTTAGTTTTCCCATTTAAATGTGAACCTGTATTTAGTTTTCGTATGCCCACTAATTACAACTTAAAATAAAAGTTATAAAAACTAAAAATATAATGTCAAATTCTAAGAACTTAAAATAATAATTATAAGAACAGATAATGTTAACTTTTACAAACAACTAGGAAAATGTTTTATAAATGCACTGCCGACATATCAATAATCTCTCTGTGACGCCCACTGCCACTGCTCAAGGGCCCGTTCCAGTTCATCAATAACAGCTCTGCCTGTTGCAGTCGTCATGTTGTCCCTCTCCTCAAAAAGTCTGTGTCCCAACTGCGTCATCTTTCCCATCCACTACACATAACAAAACACATAAAATTCAATAACGACGTATTATGAGACGTATTATATGAAAAAAAACACAACTACAAATGTTTTATGAGACGTACCGCATCCACGGCAGTGGGCGGTGGCACATCATCATCATCGGCGTCGTCGCCGTGGTGGACGTCTCTGATCAACCTCGGGTGCGAGTGCCGGTTGTACCACTCCATGTAGTGCTGGTCACACATGGCAGCCACCCCAGTTGGCGGCCGCTGCAACTGCTCAATCCATATGCGGGCAACCATCGGAAACTGCTCCCACGTGCCAATCATGCTTGCCGGCCATTGGACGACGTACTCCTTCAACGACGCAGATCGGACGGCCTTACTGGGCCATGCTGGTGGAGGAGGAACAACTTGGACATATCCAAGCTGGCGAAGACAGCGCTGCGGCATGTACGCCTCTACGATCTCACGATACTGAATCAGTCCCGTGTAGAGGGTCCTGGGTACCCTATTACTAGGGTTCTGGCCGAAAGGCATCCAGTTCACCTGCACATTTTTTAAAATTAGTAAGATTCATACAATAAACACATCAAACTATAAAAGTAGAAATAATTTAAACACTTTACCTCTAATGGGGACATCCTGTCAAGCAATAACCGTATCGATCGCAGGCGGTCAATGGACTTCTTCTCGACACGCGGACTCCACGCACAGGCACGTGGCTGGCCATCCCCAATAGGAACCGGGTCGTGGTGTGGTCGAAACGCCGGGAAATACTCGTATATCCACGTCTGTAACAACGTCATACATCCAGTGATACCTGCCGCATCAACCCGGCTCGAGAATCCTAACTGGCGATACATGTACGCTAATGTAGCCGACCCCCAAGAAAACTGGCCTACTCTGTCGGGCTCACACGCGTCAACTATGTCGCGTGGCCTGAGCTTGTTTCCGCTCTTATCCGGAAACAAGGTACACCCGAGAAGAAGAAAAACATATGCAGCCAGCTGTGTGTCCTGCGTCCTACGTGAAGTGGGGTGCAAACATCGCTGCAAAACTGCTGCGATCTTAACACCGCCGTGATCCCACACACCAAGTGCCGCTGTGTACAGCGCAGCCCTATCCACCGCCAACAGCTCCGCCAATAAATCTGCCTGATCCGCATCTGTGACAACAGATGCTCGGTTTCCCTCTACGGGAATCCCAAGGATGGCCTCGACGTCATGCAACATGATCGTCATCTCACCGAACGGAAGGTGGAAAGAGTTCGTGTCCGGCTGCCATCGCTCAACGAAAGCCGTGATCAGCGTCGAGTCAATCCTCTCATGCATGGTGGCAGGAAGGTGGCTCACTCTAGTGGCCCTCAATCGGCCGACCATCTCGCTCTCCTCCGGCCAAGCCTCAGCCCAACTACACAAGAAGTTACAAGTCCTCTCCCGGGTTTGGCATTTCAAAATGCCGCTATCCAAAGCCCGCTCTTGGTCCTCCCAAATACGGGTAGCGATGTGTCCTAGAAAGCTAGGAATCACACTCCCGTCTATAGGTCCCCCAGCCACCTCGCCCCTCACCACCCAAGAATCATTAACGGCCCTCGACCGTTTTCTGCTAACCGCAGACATAGTGGACGCAGATGATGTGCCAGATCTACTAACAAATCTACCATCTCTACCCTTACGCACGTCTACCCTACGCGTCTCATACACATCATCAAGCCTCTGACTGAATGGACCGTAATCATCATATGGTCCACTCTGATCGTCCACATCCTCATCTGCATCCTCCTCCTCCTCCTCCTCATCACCATCATCATCTTCATCATCCTCAGAATAGTGCACCCGTTCTCTACGAGCCGAGGCCGAAATACCACGGGATCTAACGTGTCTGGGCCCCGAGCTCTCCATTGAGTTCATCGTACTTCTCATAATGTCCATACTCTTCCCAGCCCCAGAACGAAAATACGATGCCTAACACAAAATAACAAAACATGTAATATGCAATATAAACATGTAATATAAACATAAAAAAAGTAATTAAAATAAATAAATAAAATAATATACATATGATGGAAAATAAATTAAAAACATTACAAAATATTAACAACCTAAAAATAAAAAAATTAATAACCTAATAAATAAATAAATAAAAAATTGGAAAAAACAAAGCAAAAAAAAAAATTACCCAAAAAAAACAAATTGGAAAAAACAAAGTGAAAAATATAAAATTATAAAAACTTAAAAAAAGAAGAACATCAAAATTTTAAAAAAAATTTATAACAAAAAAAAGGGAACATAAAATTTTTTTTAAGTAAAAAAACTAATTCAAAAAAAAAAAAAACAAGAACAATAAACAAGAACATAAAATTAAAAATTAAAAAAAAAAAAGAGGAACATAAAATTTTTTTAAAAAAAACCAACAAAATTTAAAACAAAATAAAAAAAAAATCAGAAACATAAAATTTAAAATTAAAAAAAAGAAAAACAAATTTAAAAAAAAATCAAAAAAAAAATAATTATTTTCGAAAATTAAATTTCAAATTTAAAACCAAAAAAAAATTAAAAAAAAAAATAAAAAGGCGGCGGCGCCTAGGCCAGACGCCGTGACGGTGGCGGCGGCGTCTAGCCCAGACGCCACTACCACGGCGGCGGCGCCTAGGCCAGACGCCGGTGCCGTGGTTCTGGCGCCTGGGCCAGACGCCACCGCCACCGTCACGGCGTCTGGCCTAGGCGCCGCCGCCGTGGGAGTGGCGTCTGGGCTAGACGCCGCCGCCGTGGTGGTGGCGTCTGGCCTAGGCGCCACCACCGCCTCCGACCTTTTTTTTTTAATTTTTAAACACAAAATTAATAAAAAATACCTTCTCGCCGGAAAACCGCTGTCCACCCGCCGCCTGTGCCGCCACTTCCTTGCCGGGCCGCCTCGACATCGCTCGGAAAGTTTTTTAGAGAGAGAAAGTGGAAGTAGAGAATTGAGAGAAGAAATTGTGTTTTTTACTTTGAGGGCAAAAGTGACAATTCACTCTAATTTTGTGGGCTTTATGTGGAGATTCGCGGGCGATGTTTAGCAATTGAGAAACTATACAACTAGCTTTAACCTCAAATAATACAACAAATAAACAATGAATATTTTACTAATTTTAAATACAAAAATTTAAAAATAAAAATAAAAAATAAAAAATTATCATCAAACACACACGTACAATAATTGGAACCATAAGTTACTTTATAGTTAGTCATTCTCATAATCTTGATAATGCACTAAACAAAAGAATAATGCTAATACATGTGTGCAACAACATCAACGTGGAAAATTGCATATGGATATAGATGGGTGGATATATACTTTGGTTAAAGGTTCTTCCACCTTTTGTGCACCTTTTATTTTCTTTTCTTTTCTCCTTTACTTCTTTTCTTTGCTGCTAAGTCAGAATTTGGTTAAACAATAATGGTACAATTCAAACTTAGGGGGTTTATTGTATCATTTGTATGATTGGGAGTTAAAATAAAAGAATTATGGCTCAAGAGTCAAGGCTTTACAACTTTTATAAGTTTACCAACCAAACAACTTTATCATGTTGCTTTTACTATTTTTTTTTTTCCTTGTATTTTAATGTCAACCAAACAGGAACTACGTTGAACTTGGTCGCTATTTGCTATTTTGGTATATTATTAAATAAACTAGCTCAAAGACAATCATATTTGAACATAAGTGACACTTTTATGAAATTAAGTATTGCTCGTGTAACTGAAAATTGGGTCATATCCAATCATGAAATACTACAATTTTTTTCCATCTATGTAAACATTGCTCTATAATACAAATTAAATTTCTACAAATGAACAAAATTGGTTTTTAAATGTAGACATAATTTATATACTTGAGTTACGTTAAGAAAATTGTTATTAACCGAGTCATACTCTACATATCAACACGACAATATCTTTAGAGATATTTTAGCTCAAAGTAGACAACATTCAATCATAAAACTAAATTAAAAAGAGCTTAAATAAAGTTAGCTCATCCTAATCCACTATTAACTAACACTTTAACATACTAAAATGCAAAGTACTCCTACCATATTACTTGTGCACTAATTCTCACAAAGAACTTTTCCCTACCTTCCAAAAAGCACAAAAAGCCTATTCTACACATATTAATATTGAAAATGAAAAAAGCAAGATAATAAAGAAAAGGAAACAAACATTCAAATGTGATAGCCACCTTTTGGTGGGTGAGTCCCTTTTGCCTTTCATTTCCATTCACCATTAACCTAATTAATTATCCATACAATTACAAACTTATATTGATTTAAATACTAATGATTAATTAAAATCCAATCCCTTTGTTTGATTTGGTCTATTCAATTTGACTTTTTAGTTTCCATGCACATAATACCTTATACAGTAATAAAAATTACGTGTAATATTTTAAAATCGAATCTAACAAGCTTTTAAATGGTCAAAAAAATTATTTCTCTATATCAATTAAATAAAATTTACCGTAGTATGAAATTTTTAAAATGAGACAAATAAAAAGGGACGAAACTAAAGGAATCAGGATGACATCAATTTAAAGGTGCCAAAAACCACATCCAAGTCGACCCGATTCAGCACGATTCAACATTAAAATTGTTCTACCCCGATTCGACCTCACTAAACCCGATCTAGACACCTGAATTGACACCTCTACATCAATTGTGACAAAATCATCTAATTACTGTACTTATTTTTAAAAAAACAATACAAAAATAATTAATGTTTAAAAAGGAAAGAAAGAAAGAAAATACGGCACAACTCAATGACTAGTGACACCATTACTCTTTCTCTCTCCAAATATCCCCAAAACCATTCTCTTTCTTCTCCTTCTATTCCACTCTTCAATTTTCTCTCTCCTCTTTTCTTCTCTCACTCTTCAACCCTAAATCAATTCACTCTTTTTTCTTTTCTTCATTTTTAATCGTCCATTTTTCTACCACATTTATCGTCGTCTGTTCAATTCAATTAATTTTTTTTCGAATTTTTGTTCATCAGATTTCGATCAATTTTCTATTTTTTTTGGAAAATTACTGTTTGTGTTTTAGGTAGACAGCTCAGGGTTGTGATCTAAGGGTATTTGAGGTAAGATCTTGATCAATTTTTAATTTTTTACTTTAATTTTCTTCATTTTTTTTGAATTTTATTGTTTTTGTGTGCATTAATGCTGGTAATTGCTGTGAATTTTGAATTTTGGGGTTTTATTTCTCTTTTTTTTGGTGTTTGATTGATTTTGTATGTTTTTTAGAATTTGGGGATTGTTATTTTAGTAAATTCAATTTTGGTGGATTGCAGGTGATTAGTTTGTTTGGAAATAAGCTGTGTTTTATAGTGAATTGCAGGTGGGGAGGAGGTTTAGGTTTTAGCTTAGTATATACCGGATGTAGATGAGCAAGGTTCGGGTACCGAATGATAATAGGTAGTCATGAGATGTAGCGAGAGCTAAAGCGAATACCTGTAGCAAGTATAAATTTAGGGAGAGCTAGAGATAGAGCTATAGACTTTGGTTTGAGGGTTGAGGATTGAGTTTAGCCGTGAGCTTAATTTATATCTACCTAGCTTTATTTTGTAAAATTGGAGTCGCGAAGTTGTTATTACGCTCAAGCTTAGACACCAGTCAGCCATTTGAATTGCATATTTTTTTTGTTTTTTTGTTGAATTGAGTATTTGAGTGTCAGGAAAGGAATTTGTATTGTGAACCCACATGTGACAAGTTAAGACGCGATACCAAATAGGCCAAATGCTTATGTAATGAAACTCAGAGCAGAAATATATCAGCCTCAGTGTGGTAGGCTGGTAGCATTATAGTGCATAAGTTTCATTCGCCTGTTTTGACAATCTCTTGACCTCAATGAATGGAGATTTGATGTACATTAGGAACAAGCTGCAATAGTGTTGTCTTTGCAGTTTATCCCCTGGTGCCCCACCTCTTCTCGTCCCTTTTATCCCCGTTAATGCAATCATAACTGGTTTTTAATTTTAGATTCTAATTACTGCTTCTTGAACTGTTTCACACGCCATTGCTTTTTCGTCGTGGACATGTCCAAATCTTAGTTTTTAGACCTTTGTATATACCTCGACTCAATTCTTGCTTAGTTCTCTCATTTCTACCCTTTCTTTACAGTGTTTACCTGCGATTTTGAGCTGATGTACACGGGTTTTCTGTTGGATGCGAATGTATATGGTGAGGGTCTGATTTTGGTATTTGATTACTCAAATTGAAGGTCACTGCAGCCTTCTATGTGAGGGAATATTTTCTTCCCATAAAAAAATGCAGAATACTGGAGTTATTCCAAAGAATCCGTTAAGAGTGACAACCCAGCAGTCTGGCCGTCGCTTGAGCTTCTGTTCAAATATAGCCACTGGACAGCACTGCTCTCCAGTTGTGTTTCCTGAAAAACGTAGCAAAGGAAAGGCTTCACGTCGAAATGAAGTCCTTGCTACTAGCAATGATCCACAAACAGCAAAGAGGGATGAGCACAGAATTGACATTGGGGACGAACAATCTGACTTGTTAGGATATGATGTATTTACTGGAAAGTTAGTTTTGGATAAGAGGAAGACTAAGAAAAGTACCGATGCACAGACTTCAACAGAATCGACAAACCAGGATGCTACTGACGCCAAGCTTACTAGCAAGGCACTAGTTTGGGGATCAAATACATTGTACTTGGAAGATGTGATTTCGGTGAGCTAATTTTAATTTGTTCTTCAGTAAATCTTGTAGTACTGTAGTAGATTGGAGCTATATAATACCTATTGATATTTTTTCCCTTCCTTTTTGTTCGCAGTTATCATATAATTCTGGTCTAAGACATTTTACTGTGCACTCCTATCCGATAAAGAACCATGCACTTGTCCCATCTTGCTTTGCGAAACCTCGAAGATGTCGGAAGGATTATCGTTTTTTGGCTTCGAACCCAGATGAGGCACTTCAATGGGTTAATGCCTTTGCAGATCAACAATGTTATATTAATTGTTTGCCGCATCCACTTGTATCCTCAAAGAAACAATCTTCAGAGTCTGGTGATTTATTTTTTGAACCATTTGAACCATATATCAAATGTAAGAGTCCGCCCAGAATGCTTGTAATTTTGAACCCACGGTCTGGACGTGGCCGGTCAAGTAAAGTATTTCATCGAATGGTTGAACCGATATTTAAGGTATGCTAATATTCCATTGACACATTTATGTGCACCAGGGCATTGATTATCAAACGTTCTTGCATCATATTCTATGAAACGACTACAATTGAAAAATATATCAAAAGGGCTGTTAGGATTTAGGAGTACATTAATTGCAGATGGTATGGTAATAAAATTCCTTTCTGTCTATGAATTCTATGGTGACTATCATTTGATTTTGTGTCTAACTTTTTTCATCTGGAATATATATGTTTTGAGTTATGTGTCATTGGGTTTTAATCCCTTGCAATAAAAATATGCAATGCTTTAAAGTTTCCCTCAAATGAAATTGTTGATAACCATGGATTACTATATTTGATATCATTGTTTGGATGTTTATGCAGAGTACTTGATCTGCTCATGGCTGTCATTATTTCAGCTTGCAGGTTTTAAGCTGGAGGTCGTTAAAACAACTTGTGCTGGACATGCTAAGAAACTTGCCTCCACTGTTGACTTTAGCACATGTCCTGATGGTATTTATTAAAATTTGGACATTTTGTTTACATTTCACATCTTTTATTTCTTTTATTTCATTATCCTACTTTCTGTTGATAGGGATCGTTTGTGTTGGAGGTGATGGAATTGTTAATGAGGTATGCCTTCAATCTTCTTCTCTTTGGTGTCCTGACTATCACTAATCACACGGCCTATATGATGCTACTTTATAGTAGCTTATGTTTGAGGCTTCATTTTTTTTGGGTAAAGGTCCATTTGGTCATGATTTTAATGCACAATATTAGGCTCAATTACACATGTTTTGTATGCTATCAAGATATTTTGTTGATTCATATGGGTGCATGGGAATTTTGAATCTTTATTGACTGTGCAGGTTTTAAATGGTTTACTCAGTAGGAATGATCAAAAAGAGGCCATTTCGATCCCAATTGGAATTATACCGGCTGGTTCTGATAATTCTCTTGTTTGGACTGTTTTGGGGGTTAGAGATCCTGTTTCAGCTGCAATATCAATCGTGAAGGTTGGTTGTAAACTTCATATTAAGCTTCATTAGCTTCTTAAGAGTTTTGCTACTTCTTTTGCCTCCTGATGTGCAAAATTTTTTTATGTGTTTTGTATTGACTTTGATTGTTAATATCTTTTTCTTTCTTTCTTTTTAAAGTTCTCTTTTCTTGGGGGTGGTTGTGATTTCAGATTTTACAACTTTTTTCATGTTGCTCTTAATTCCTGTAGGTTAAGGTCACTGTAGATTCTGCCCTTGATTTCTTCTATGCTATATATTGAGACATGTTATGCTGTGTAACTAAATTAAGAAGCTGGCATGAGTTCATTTTTGTGATTCGGATTACTCTTTCCATCATGCTTTTCTTTTGACTAGATTCTGGAGTTGCGTTGATTCCCATAGAGTAGACACACTTTTTGAGAGCATTTTTCAGAGGCTCTCTTTTCACCTGCACTTTATGTCGGTTGTTGAACCAAAGATATAAGTTGGTTGTCTGGATGTCTCCTGAAAGGGCTGAGGTTAACATTGCTTAGCTTTGGTAAACGAGTGAGTCACTGAATAACTTTCACATTCTGGTAGTTAGCCTTCTTTATGCCATATCACCAAAGGTCATTATGAATTCGTCATAGCTTCTCGAGGCTTGACAAAAGTAATGAACGTTGTACATTTGAAGTTTGAACTGTATAATTAAAACTTGTGTTTGTATTGAATAATATGATCTGAGAGATGTCGATTACTAGCAAATTGAAGATGTTTTATCTTCCCAATTCTAACATTGCAACTGCAGTCTTAAAATACAACTAGAATAGCTGTGCAAGACGGTGCCATATATTATCTCACCTGGTTTTTATTTTATTTTGTATTTTCTGAGTAAATAATTTCTTGGAAGTCATGCTTTTATTTTTGTTTTTGGCTGTAAAATTGAGGGGAGTCAGCATGTAGGCCATGAACAGCATTCCACTGTCATTATGAGTGTCAGCTTTCCCCCACCCCCTCTTCTTGTTGAGCAACTGACTTACTGTAATCAACATGGGTGTCACTTTATACCTTCTACAGTCACTAATATAAGGCCCAAAACTTTCTCGTTCTTGTTCAAATAAGTTTGCTGAACTATTAATGTAGAGCTTTGTCATTTATTGTGTGATCTCTTATATTTATGTTTCCCCCCCATTCTGCTTGTCTCCAGGGAGGCCTTACCGCGACAGATGTGTTTGCAGTTGAATGGATACAGACTGGATTAATTCACTTTGGGTCGACTGTCACATATTTCGGGTTTGTCAGTGATGGTAATTAATCATACTTGCAAGTTCTGTGCTGTCAATTTTATTGTTGAAACAGTGAAGCTCCTCTTTCTCCCCTTCTCTCTGAAATCCTTATTTAGAAAAAGTGACTGTAATCTGTATTTTGACACAATCGAAGTGCACACTGTTTTCAGAATCCTGGAAAGCTATTGTCTGCACGTTTTTGTTCTTTCACAGTAAGCTGAAGAATTATTTTGGGATGTGGGATTTCTAAATGATGTACTTATTTTGAGGAAATGTTGCCATCATTTTCTCACAGGATAGTAATCATAGTATGCAAATCTATCCTTATTGCTACCCCAAAAGAAGAGCTTTACAGATCCTGGATTTTTTATTAACTACTACGTATATACTTCATAAATTGTATTGTTTGTAAACTGCTCTGCATGTGATCTGTGATTTTCTTATTTGTTTCTTTGCCATGTCAATTTCATGAACCTGCCTTTCCTTCAGAAGATCTTGCCTGTTGTGCTAATATTATTCTTCAAGTGTTGGCCCAATTATGTTGCTCATTTTTATATTTATGCCTAATATGGAGTAGTTGGCAAACTGCATAACCCCATTATTTTTGGCAAGTGCCAATATGTTAACATGCAAATTGTCCATGCTGCTTCAAATTGCTCTTACTCTCATAATTTTTTTTTTGTGATACTTTATATGTAGGCGGATAACATTTTTTAAGATTACTGGTATGGTGATATCTTTCAACGTGTGTTGGATTGAATGTTCATATAAAATATGCAGCTTGAAGCATAAAGCATAAAGCACAAACCCTCTCTTCTTTACAGTTATCTGGTATCATACGTTGTGCTTTAATTGAAAGATTCTCATATCTTAATTTTACCTTGTTTCAGTGCTGGAGCTCTCTGAGAAATACCAAAAGCGGTTTGGTCCATTGCGTTACTTTGTAGCCGGTTTTCTAAAGTTTTTATGCTTACCGAAATACAACTTCGAAGTAGAATACCTTCCAGCATCAACCGGGGCACCTGAGGATGGAAAATTTCTAGCTGATCAAGAGGTAGTTGATATGTCTGATCTGTTCACTGACATTATGAGAAAATCTAATACAGATCGTCTTCCCAGAGCTTCCAGTTTGTCAAGTATTGATTCAATAATGAGCCCTAGTAGGATGTCAGGGGTGGATATGGACACAACTGGCAGTAGCACACGTGCCAGTACTGAGCCATCTGATTATGTGCGTGGCCTAGATCCTAAAACAAAACGTCTCTCTTCCGGGAGGAGGAATGAAATGGCGGAACCTGAAGTAATCCACCCCCAAATTCCACTTTCAACTACTCCGAATTGGCCAAGGACTAGGTCTAAGTCACGGGCAGATAAAGGATGGACTGGAATGACCACCACACATGATGCAACTAGAAGCTCCTGGGGAAATACCGGACCAGATAAGGAGGATATTTCTTCCACAATGTCTGACCCAGGTCCAATCTGGGATTCTGAACCTAAGTGGGACTCCGAGCCTAACTGGAATGAAGAAAATCGCATTGAATTGCCTGGACCACCACCGGAAGAAGATGAAGAAGAAAGAAGGATTGAAGTAACTCCTAGGTTTGATGATAAATGGGTGGTTAAGAAGGGACAATTTCTTGGTGTTCTAGTATGCAACCATTCATGCAAAACTGTTCAAGGTTTAAGTACTCAGGTGGTGGCACCAAACGCTGAACCTGATGACAATGCCTTAGATCTATTACTGGTTCATGGAAGTGGTAGGCTAAGGCTGTTGAGGTTTTTCTTACGTCTACAATTTGGTCAACATTTGTCCCTGCCGTATGTTGAGTATGTGAAGGTATGTTGGAAGTCCCTTCATTATAAAGGTCTTGACTTTTTGAAGCTATTGGTAAATGATATGTCCATCCATCAAGTAATAACAAAAAAAAAAAAAAAAAGTAAGTATGCATATATAGAAGGATGATGTTTTATTTTTTTATTTCTAAAAAAAAGCACAAAGGCTGTTTAACTAATGTTTTCTTAAAATCATCGATGAAAGTTGTTGCTTACTCCTTATTTAATGTTTACGTCAGTTATGTACTGCTTTCTTTAAAGTTAACCATGAAAGTTGTCTTTACTCCAGTCTGGTGGAGGACGGGATTTGGTGGAGGGGCATCTTGACATTATGAGTTCATAAATTATATGCCTGTTATGGCTTAGTTGAGACTATTTGACGTGAGAATTTAAACTCTTCTATGATGAATTGGGTGTCTCAAGATGATGCTGTATTATGATCTTTAAATTAACACATCTCACTTCTTAACAAAATTATAAGCTTATGGCCTTACAGGTGTATTGTTTACTTAGTAAAATATATGCTCTAGTTAGCATTGATTGTGCTTGCAGCTTGGCGGTGCTAAAACGTCTTCTGTTGGAATGCAGGTGAAATCTGTCAGGATCAAACCAGGAAAGCATTCTCATAATGGATGTGGGATTGACGGGGAGCTTTTTCCAGTCCATGAACAAGTCATTACTTCATTGCTCCCTGAACAATGTCGGCTTATTGGTCGACCTCCCAGCCGACAGATATGAAGCCATTGACAAATGTAGGATCATTTTTCTTCATTTTGCAGTTGGGGTGCATGGGTTCTCCCTCAGCTTCTGTGTGGTAATAGAATGTGCAGAACATAGATAACATATAAACCTTTTTAGTTTTTTATTTTATTATTATTTTTTTCCTTGTGATCCCACCTCCTGCTATTTTGTCTTTGCTATGTAAGAGCTGCTTGTAAATTTTGTCAGATAATGCCCTGCTGTTGCTTCCATTCTTTTTTGATCTGCCCCTTGTCGACACTTTGTTCATTGCTGCGTGCAGGCTGTAATATTTATCGGGAATTCTGTATTGACCTTGTTCCCCGAGATATATATGTACTATAACCATTTCTTCTATGTTTTTCCTGATCACTAAACATTATCTGATTTCTGTTTTCATTGTATGTTTCATCACGTATCATTATTGGTTCTGGGCATGAAAGTGACATGATCTTTTCTGCATTCGTTTCTCTGCTGTAATGATCATTGGCAGGTTTATTTGATGTTTGAGGTTCTCGCAGTCTTCCAACAATGTACCAGTCCTAATTATCATTTTAGTTGTAACAGATTTCTTTTATCAGCCTCTACCAGATTTTTTGGTTTTACTTTAGGAAAGTAACTTATACTTTGTATAATTAGGTTTCTAACTAACCTTTTGGTGAGTGGAGCATTCAAATTGGAATGAGCATACATATTTTTATGGTTCCAGTGCATTTTCCAAAACTTGAAATGGAAGTCAGCCTTGAATTTGCAAGTAAAAATCATGGATTACACTGATCCTGCATTGTGCGAACCAGTGGGATTAGACACCAAAGAGGCCACTACCGACGGCGTACTGCCAGATGGCATGAAAGTGAAAATGGGTAGTTGGGTATCATACCTCCCTTATGCGATGGGAAGAATGAAATTTATATGGGGCCTTAATTGGGCTATATTTATTTATTATTTTAAGACTCTTTTTATGAGGGGAATTTCTAATGTGATTAGACTACATACCGGCTAGAGCATTGACTACAAGTGGAGGATTTAGAAAAGAAGGGGGAAGGGAAGTGGAAGTTCATGCAACAAGATCCATTCCTGTTTTTTCAAGCTAGACCTCTGGTTTGTCTTGGAAAAGGAGATGGCATTCTTGCAAATGAAGATGTTGGTGCAGGTATCAAGGGGAGGTTACGGGTTTTTCCAATGATGGAAGACGGCTTTGAGCCGGTTTATGTTTTTGATCTCACTGAAAAGATGCTGGGGGTTAACCAGTGAAGATTGAAGAAAGGTGATGTGCTTTGAGGCTCAATTGATAAAAAGTTGATGCAACAATCTGTGAAAATTTTACCAAGGAGCCTTTAATTGTAACGCAGCATGAATGCTAACATAACTTATAATTGCTTTACATTCATTTTGTAACATAGCATAATAAACAGTTAAGAGGCAGAAATGCCATTGTTGATTGTTGCGCGAGTTACAAAATATATCAGCGACAACTGTAATATTTGAGAAGGTGTAACACCAAAAAATGAATGCAAATGCTAATCAATAAGATGACCATGCCCCTTTAACTACTTTTGCTTCAATCACAGACATATTACCAGAAGATGATGAACCAAACACTTCAAACTTCTTAAGAAGCATGTTTGCTAGATCACCTGCTATATATCCTGGTCCAGCAACCATGATACCAAGACTGATGTAGGAGAAAACAGTCTTCATATATGCCTTTGGAGGCCTTTGGACATATGCCTTCCCTGTGGACAGCAGTGTGATGCAGACGAGAGAAACAGCTGCAAGTGCTGCAAGCTTGAGGTACTTGTTATCGCTCTTGTAGAAAGAAAACCCGTAAATGATTGGAGACATTAGGCCAAACACAAGATAAGATATGATGGCAATTGTTGCATGGAGCAGAAAGTGCCCTGGTCTCCCAAGTTGTTGTTCATAATGCTCCGTGTTCTGCTCCTGTTTCAGAGCTCTAAGCTGCAAGGTCAGGTCAAGTGTCAGATGCAAACATCAATTATCTTGAATATTTGTGTAGAACATATCATGTTTTTCTGTAGAGTACTTACTATATTGATTGAAGGCTTCATTCTTTTGGCAGAATTGATGAGAAAACTCACATGTTTATGTATTAAGTATAGTATAAAACCAAAAACATCACAGAAGCCAATATAAGTAAAACTGACTAACACATAGCAGGAGTTTAGGCAGAATTGATGAGAAAACTCACATGTGGAAGCATCTCCACCCGCTGCAGAAACTACGACACTTAAAATAGTTATGGACTGAACGAGCCCACCATACACAACGGCTTTGATTATGTCCAACCGAGACACTTCAGGACTAGGAGCTTCGAGTGAATTATGCTCTATAACATCAGGCATTTGCACAATCATTTGTCCTGCATTATTTTAGAAATTTGGGTCAAAGATCTTTAATTAAAAAGGTTGTTAACTTTTGTAGGTGCTATTTCACTGTCAAATTTTCTATTCTTTTTATGTGTTTTCTTGATTGAAAAAAAAAAAAAAAAAACTTTACAAAAAGAGAAAAAAATAAATAACAAACAACGATTTAAGGGAAAATTGTATTTAATTTTCAAAGACATTTATATGTGACAGCAACTTTATTGTTATTGTTGATTGTTCAAATCATGTACAAAGTGTATAAAAGCTTCTTAGCTCTTAAATCTTGCCTTTTGAAGTGCTCTTCTTACGACCAAATCTTCCATTTTATAAGACTTCTTAAAAGCTAGTTTCTAAGTGTTGGACATGTCTTAGTTTGTATTTGAAAAAGATTGATGGCTTCGACGTTTTATTTCACTAGCAATGACCGAGTCAGGAAGAAGTATGAACCTCTTAACAATTCTTGATTATAATTCCGAAAACTTAAGTTCTCTTATTAGAATTGGTTGTCACGTATACTAATATGGGATATCAGAAAAAATTGTCATATTTTCTAATGTAACATAGATTGCTTTCGAACACACACACATACATAGGAATGGAAAGAAGATGGTAAGAAAACATTTTAGCAATATCAAAGGTGAATCATTCCTAATCATGGGACAGTGTAACTATTAATTCCGGACAGAGGGAGTTAAATAAAATTTAGCTGTAGCGAATACCTCAGAGAAAGTGTGCATTATATCTAGTCTTACAAACTTTATAAACATAATTAGTAACATTTTAGTGATGTATAAGTTACCTGGTTGTGGACTGATGGCCTTTTCATCAGGAACTATATCTCTTATGTGCAAAATGATTTTCTTAGCAATATATGAGTTACAACTGGAACAGCACAAATCATGAATTTCCTGCTCATTTATCACATTCTTCTCATAAATTCGCGCTACTTCTGGTTCTGTGGAAATTACTCTTCCATGTGAAGGGACCCTTTTCGTAATATATGAGTTACATGTAGTACAGCTTATATAGTCATGTATCTTCTGTTTCTTTATCACCCCATTTACGGCAAATTTTGTTGCTAAGACATTATTCTGATTCTGAATTGAGAATTCTCTGATATCTGCCAGTCCCCCCCAAAAAAAAAAAAAAACACTTTACAAAAATTATTTTTTCTAATCTGTTTTTCTGAAACAAAATGTAATAGCTACATATAATATGTTAACTTTAATATTTAACAATTTGGTATATGATCATGTTACAGTTTTAAATCAGTACTGTTACATTCATTTGTGTAAGGCAGTCCATTATAATTTCTTCGTTTATTAGCGTAACCAGATGGTCTAGTGACCGGAGAGAATCCTCACGTGTATATTACACATGCTTTTAAAGCCTCAATACACAAACAACAAAAACATTGTACCATTGAAAGAACTAGAGTTGATTTGCCATGTTAGAATTTAGAAGGAAAAGTGAGTCTACCTGCATTTTGAGCTGCATTTGTGTATGTTTCTTCCATCTTGTGTTCCTTAAAGCTTCCTCCTTTAACATTAGGAGGGATGATAGATTCTTCATTAGCTAACCCGCCCTTGAAAATTCGAGATCTTTCACCATTACTAATAATATTGGTTTTGGTATTCATGCTTGCAACAAACTCACTTGATTTACATTTGTGATATTAATAATCGAAATTGAGTTCTTCTATATTATGTCACCTTTTTTTAAATGTGAAAGTCCTCTCCCTTTCCTCTTCTTTTCTATCTAATAAAATTTTATTTTCTTAGATAGTCAAACATAGTATAATATCATGGTAAGTAGATGTCAATTAGTTTAGTTGGTTAAATATCCCGATCAGGAAGTGATATCCATAGGATCGAATTCAAATACCATCTATATTAACAATATTGCTACTCTTTGTGCTTCTCTCTACACACAAAGAAATAAAATAATATAACATCTTGCATTAATTAATTTACTTGTTTTTTCATAAAAAAAAAAACAAAAAAATTTACTCGATTATATTGTAACCAACAACCAATATACTTTCTCTTTTTCTAACTCAATGCATGTCAAACCAGTAACAACTCTTTTTTTTTTTTTTTTTTTTTTTTTTTTTTGGTGCACGTTTTTTCATTCAAAGAAGATGCAGTTTAGCTGGCATAATGTGGATTGATAGATGGTTGCTCATGCGTTGGCTAACTCAAAAAACAGATTCTTCTGTCATTGCTGCCTTTACTTGAACTATTTCTCACAAAGTCACAATGATGTACGCAAATTCTATTTCTCACAAGGTTGTATACCATAGAAATTGGACCACATATGATCTTTATACAGATAACATGTTTGATTTATATGATTGTCCTAAATTGTTAATGTTTTAGGTAATTAAAAGGTTGATGATAGTGATAGACTTATATTATACTCCATCTGGCCCCATTTCTTTTTATTGTAACTATTTCACAAAAATATTCGGATCGCGTGTATAAACTGTTTTGACTGAGAAGTCACGAAAAATTCCATCATCTTTCTTATATTACCTCTGTTTCATTGGAATTGCTCCATATTCCTCTTTTAGATGTATCATTTAAGTTTTTCACCATAATAATGCATACGGAGAACCCTATTGCGTTGCTCTCACATACACTATTTTGGTTTCACCAATTTTCTCTTTCATCAACTTTACCCAACTAAACATAAAAAAGTAACAATTTTCCTATGGGACAATTCCAATGGAACGATAGAGTACTTTGCAATCTTTTTGATAGAAAAATTAGATGTGTCATCTCAAAAATCACCCTCTTTTGATTTCTAGTACATCAAAGTATAACCATAGCTGCTCGAGAAAAGAAATACTATTTATTATCATTATTATGCTCTCTAAAAGTGTAGAAGCCTAACCTAAGATGCAAAGAATATAGAACTACAAATGCAGAGATCAAGCATCATCCCTCAATCACCCTCTTTTGATTTCTAGTACATCAACAAATAGCTCTCGGATACGAATAGTGATCAATAAGATGACCATGCCCCCTTCATAGCTCCTGCTTCAAACAAAGACATTGCAACTGGAGCCTTAGAGTAAAAAATACCGAGCTTCTTCAGTAATTCGTTTATGAGATGACCGGCAGCATATCCAGCCCCAGAGACCGAAAATCCAACTCCTATGTAATAGAAGATAGTTTGTATGTATGCCTTTGGAGGACTTCGGGCATATGCTTTTGCTATAGAAAGAATGGTGATGCAAACAAGTGCAGCAGCTGCAAGTGAAGCGAGTTTGTAGTCCTTGTTGTCACTCAAGCGGAAGGCAAAGCCATAGATGATAGGAGACATAAGGCCAAAAACAAGGTAAGATATTACAGCAATAACTGCATGCACCTTAAAGTGCCCTGGCGACCCCAGTTGATCTATATAGCGTTCCGTTGCATGCTCATGTTTCAGCACTCTTAGCTGCATAGTGAAGTCACAAAGGAGGAATTATGTTATCATAGTGTCATCAATAGAGGAGGATCATTATATCATTTCTATAATGAAAACCTTTTTATTATTATTTACTTCAGCTAATACACTACCGTGCTTTATTTTACTTAAAGATTCACCCCTGCATTATGACAATTAATTCTCTGGATTTGATTAATTTTTCTTTTAGCAAATCCGCACTAACAATATTCACCCCTGCATTATGACGATTTACTCTCTGGCTTTGATTAATTTTTCTTTCAGCAAATCTGCACTAACAATTTCTTTGGCATATTCAGCCTAAAGCATCTTTTGGCCAACAATCAGCATACATGGCACGCTAGTATAGACAAGAAAATGGTAAATGATTTATTTACCCAAAAAAAATATGGTATTGGATTTACTAAGGATTCAGGATCAAATGAGAATTTACAAATACCTGAAAAGCCAAACTTCTGGCCGTAAAGTGGTGGCCAGAATAATATATGTTGATTTAGTTGTATACTAAAAGTCAAAATACCATTGATAATAGTCTGGCTTTAAGCTGAAATGGCACTTACATTGTGAAGAAGAAGAACAAGTCCTCCAAAGACGTTTGCAAGTCCCAAAGCTACAATATTCACTGCAAACATATAGGGCAAGGTTATAAATTCATGATGATGAAGCAGCATCTGACCCTAAATTTATGTCCCGGTTGAATAAATGGATGAAATAAACAGAAAAAATGATACTTTCAAGTTTGAACTGAAAAGGAGCCAAGGTAGCGTCACTTTTGAATTTACTAAAGAAAAGCAGTGGGTATATCAATTTTGAAAGGAACTTTATTACGGAATATACAATAAAAGGCTTTTGAGCTTCTGATTTGGGGGTGAGGGGAGTGAGAGGGTTAAGTTTGTCTAAGATCAGAATATATGCTGCATGATATCATAAAACTTTTAACTAACGAGTCTGCAATTACTTTGCTTCATTTAAATATAATTAAAGGCACGATGTGATGTGAAATACCAAATAATTGCATATAGCTTCTACACTCTACACATGTAGATCTCATGCAACCACTGTATTTCTGAAGCTGTTTTATGCATATATACCGAAAATAGAATGGAATAGTAAGTAGCTTTGAGGCAGAAGACTCACATGTGGTGGCATCACCACCTGCGGCAGAACTTACAACACTTAGGCTAGTGATGCATTCCAAGAGACCACCATAGACAATGGCTTTAATTATATCTATCCCAGAAAATCCAGGTCTAGGATGTTCAGGTGGACGTATAACGACAGTTTCCATGATGCCTGCTATAGGCCTTGCTCCAGATTCATCGGACGGTGAAGGTTGAGGAATAATTGGCACGATCACATACTCTGCGTTATTGTGATTTTGAGTCTATGTTATTAGAAAGAGTATTTCAACCAAAGTTTTGATGGCAAAGACAAAATACGGCATATTAAACATATTCAAGTAATACTTGTCAAAATCCTCCACAATAGTGGAACTATACAGCATGGTACTAGGATTCCTGGAATACAATCACATAAGCAGAATCATGGTAAAATAGGAGCTTTCGTTCACACCTTAGCTTTAAGAAAAGAAACACATGTAATACGTTCTGAGAGTGAGATAGAGAGAGGAATACCTTGCTTAGAAGTATCAGGGGCCTTTAGATCTGGAGGTGATGGGATACCTGCATCATCACAGAAGGAATATAACGATAAGCTTCTCAAAAGTTTAAAGAAGAAATTGAATAATGAAATTTATTGACTAGAGAGGAGACGTACTGTCATCGGGTTTTATGACAGGTACTGGCTTAACTAGTATTGGTGATCCTCCATCTTTATAAGCGAAAATAACAAT